ACATCCTCATTTGTCATATAACATAGCATAATCTTTAATCGTATGGTAAATAGACTTGATTACCCAACTTATGTCTGTCTAGTTTTTATGCATTAATGACATTGAAAATGTGAATTTAAATACCAAAATGCATTTTCGTAAAGGTACTTGACTCCTGAAAGGTGGATTGATTTGCCCCCTTTCATGTTGTTCCTGAGAGGAAATCAGGCAGACAGTTTTGGAGTGGCTAAACTGTGTGCAGTTTGGGGGAAGAAAACCCTTATGATCCACCCTTCCCATCTTAGCACATTAGGCCTTATGTTAACAAACAGCAGTCTTGCTGTGCTAGTTTGTTTCTGTGCTTGACTGCCGGCCTTGTTCTTCTGTTGGCTTTGACAGCTTATATAGCTGTTGAAGTGAACATACCGCTGGCTCTTCGCACAACTACTTCAGTTGTGCACAAAAATGCAAACTGCTGACAGCAGAGAACTGTGACAGTATAAATTATTGTAGCTAAATCTGCCAGAGCTTGAGAGTCAGAGCTCTTTTAATGTATTCTGTCTTCAGGAGGAAATGTCTGAAGTAAGGGTTGGGGTCTGATGCTTGTCCTTTACAGTTAACTGTTAAGAACTCAGTTTTCAACATTCATCTTGCTTACCCTGCTAAATGTTTTCTGTATGTTTTACTAATCTTGTTTTAGCAGGAGTCTACTGAAGTATTGTACACTCTCGTTTCAGATTCCTATTAGGTTGTCAAATGTGGCCTTCGTTCTTCTTTATGGTGAAAAGCAGCCACACAAAGTTCTTGCTTTGTTTGCACCAGGAGACTTGCACACAGGTTGCATTTAAATATATTAATCTCTGTCATTGTTTCTTTTCCTGTGACAAATACATATAACCAAACCCTTGCTCATTCCATTCTACTGTAGCTCATAACTTTGCCACTTTTGTATTTGTTGTTCACTGCATTCTTGTTCCTATATTACTCCTTTTGGTTGTGGATAATAGAACTTTGCGTGCTAATCAGAGTAGAACTGATTAATTTGCCCATGAATATAGGTACTCTTTATTAGCAGTGATTGATCAGCATCATGTGTAAATTTGTTTTTATCTTTAGGTGCTAACATAGTTCTGGCTAAGATGACATTTCACTGGATTTGGGTTTTTTTTTCTCCCTTTCTCCTTCACTTCGTCCTCCATGTGTCTTTCTCTTTGCATTTAATGCCACGTATACGATTGCCAAGTTTTGCCACAAATGCCTATAGATCACACTCTTCCTGGTTATTAATGATATGGCCATCAGCCTTTTTACATTCATTAGACTCCCTAAAACTTACACAGTTTCAGTATCAATATCCATTAGCAACCCGAAACTAAAATACATGTAGGAATGAAATTCCTCTTGGCAGGCCCAGTTTTTAGTGGAAGGAGGTACTAGAGCTCAGCGATGGTGGATACTGCTGTGTCTGTCTCAAAAACAGTTCCTGTATGTCATACTGCAAAAAACCTGTGTTTGGTTTTATTCTCAGTTTTCAAACAAGCTTTGGACTAGGGAGCATTGCATATGGGGGGGGGGCACGGGGGTTGTATAGCAACCGCATTTGTTGTGCTAGGATAGCAAGAGCTGCATTAATATAGTGCCAACTAGAGAACGCCTGACTTGGTTACTACAGCGTTATTCCTAGTTGTTTAACAACTTTAATGAATCTGTTTCTTCTGGAATAGTAATAATCACTAATTTTTTTATTTCCTGTTGTCTTTTTTCAAGCTGTAGCCCTGTATCTTGCTGAAAAATGGTGGTCAGTCGATGACATTGTGAGAACATCTGCCCCTGCTAGACAGGGGCTTCATCAGGTAAAGCACTCCACTATTTACCTAGCAATTACTCTTATCCTTCAGGATAATGGCAAGCAATGGCAAATAGCTAACGCATGAGATTTTATGTGTTTTCATTTAATTTGGAAAGGAGTTGTCAGTCTCAAGTCCAAAGCAAGGTCAGTGGGAATAGAGGAATAGGTACTAGGGGGAAAGGAAACTTGGTTGTGAGGATAGTAGAGATAGCAAGAGTGACTTTCACACAGTTGCTTGGTATGTCAGCTATTTAGATGCCAATGGTGTTAAAATTTTGGTGGTGTCTTTTTTTTTTCTTTACTCTTTAAACACTGTATATCTGGTTGTATTGAAATGTCTTAGTAGGGTGGTGTATTGTACCATGACAGTTACATATTGCTCTTATTGGGAGATTAGTAAGCTAAAAATATTGTTGGGAACCTGCTTGGCAGAGGCAAGTTGGAGCTGGTGACTTGCAGTGGCAGTACATGAAGTTTGGAAAAGTAAGTTGCCTGGTATCTGCTATTATTGCTCATCACTGACCTTTGTTACCATTGCTGACACACGTAGCTTGGAGTTTTGAGGGTTGTTTTCCAAAACTGGAAATCCTTATTTTTCCAGGAGTGTAATTTATATCTGCTCATGTAATCTGGACACTCATATTTGATCTTTTTTTTTTTTTCAACTTTTTAATTTGTCTAGATAATTTGGCATGTAGCGGTGTTTCCCATGTGCTTCTTAATGGTAGGATGGTGATTAAATTAGGAAAGCTGCATCTTTTACAGTTAGGGTAGCTGAGACTGGGCATTGGGAAAGAGAGCATGGTTCTTCCATTTTTCCTTCAAAATGTGTAGGATATGGTGAACTTAAATTTCACATGTAAAAGAAATGCTGCAGGACAGAGAAAAGGATATTGAGTTCCTTGTTTCATGCCACAGAAACGGTTGTAACCAGTTCTTCCACTGCATCCTGTCTTGTTGTTTGCTACTGTATCGGCAGTGATGGAGTGTGCCAAGTGCTGCTACCCTGTGAGGCTCATCATTTCTCCTTTGTAGGACACCACTTACCTGCCAGCCTGGGAAGTCTGAGGCTGATGTACTGCTGTTGTGTTTGGTGAATATGTCTTAAATCCAAAAATAGTTTTGAGTTAAAACATTTCCCCCGCTGACCCGCTCCCAGCACTTCTCTCAGCTTTTACCAATTGAATTAGGAGTGACACTGAGGTTGTGGAATATTCTCTGTCTATGGCCGTGCTTTATACTTAACCTATTGCTATGGCTTCCAAGCATATCCTTGCCCTCATATCCCAGAGCTTCATCTTGCTTTAGCACGTACAGCTTCTCTTGACTCCGTCTGCAGCTGGGTTAACTGTCAACTTTGAAAAATAAGGTCACTGACGAGTTAATATTAACGAATCTGACCAATTTTCTAAAGTGTTCTTCTGTGTTTCCTTAGGTGAAGTCGCTTGGAGAGAGGGTTGTTCTCTACATTCTGAATCGAATTATCTATCGGACACAAGAAATGGAAAGAACTGACATCCCGTTTCTCTGTCATGATAGCAATGACTATGCTAAGATCATGTGGAACAAAGGAGAAGCTATTGGGTTCTATTCTGTTAAAGTTACAGGTAAAACAATCGAGTATTGGGGGATTTGGGGGGCGGAAGGGAGGAGATAAGGAGCTTATTAGGAAAATACTGTGTTTAGTAGACCTTTACAGAACTAATGAACTAATTAGGCCTTGCAGGCCTAATGAATTGGTGTTTTCCTGGTCAGATTTGCTGTTAAAATTTCTAGCTTAATTATGTGCTCTAGGAAGCTAAGAAAGTTCTTAGATTTCTTCATATGCTACAAAATGTATTCAAAACTCTAGAAATGAGGTATACTCTAAATGTTTTTTCTCTGTAGAACAATTGTTTACGATTAGATTAGGATATGCTTGGTTTTTTGTTTTGGGGTTGTTTTGGGTTTTTTTAACCTCGCTCCATAATGCAGCAATTCTGTTTATCTGAAGTGACTGTAGAATCAGATGTCACTATCACTTAAACATTTTATAGCATGACAGCATAGAAGCTTTGCTCACAGGCATGAGATCCAGCTAAGCCTGATGATAAAGAAAAAAAGACTCACTCTCCACACATGCATTCCCTTAGAGATTACAATTAAGCTGGCATGTTTGCCATTAATGTTACAGACTTCATGCTATTATTTTCTTTTTCTAAAACGTTATGGCTTCCCTTTTAGTTATTTTGGAAGTCATTGTTTTTCAGTTTCCACTGAATAAGATTTAGTATTTGGGTAGGATGTGTAGCCTGTTCATAGCACTTTGTAGAATATCAATACTTAGACCAAGGAGAAACAGTGTGGCATTTTTGTTTCATCTCTAGAGGGGGTTAACTAATTCAGGATTAATGATGGAGACTTCCCAAAACTAACATACATATATACCTTTTCAAACTGTTAAAATAGTAAACTGTCTGGGTCACTGACCTATTCTGGTCTGGCAGTCAAGATAGGAAAACAACCAGCTACTTTGTTCTGATTGGGTTTTTTTGATGCTTTTTTATTTAAGAAAGTTTGCATTGCATCATTTTTGTAAATCTCAATATTATTTTTAATATCAAAATTGCTGTGGAGTGCTGGTCACAAAGTAGTATTTACATTTCAGTGGTGTTTGTTTTGGCTTTATAAAGCTGGAAATTGAGAGCAGTGATTCTGTTTTTCATCTAGAATAGGACACTTCCTTATGTGGCAGTGAAGTTTTGCTGTATTTGTGCTCACTCATTTTATTTTGCATGATGCCCACTCATTTACTTGTCCTGAGCTGTTAGCAAACCCCTTTCTAGTGTTATCGATATTTCACCGGTGTCTGGCTGTGTGCTGTATTTTTCAAAAAAGCAGTCTGTGTGGAAGAAGACAGCTCTGGAAAAATCTTTAGGTAATAGTGGTGGAACTTGACTGGTATTCCATAAGGGAACCCAAGTAATGTAACCTCTCTGCCCATGTTTTCCTTGCTTGAAAAATGAAGATAAGTATGTTCACTGGTGTCAAAATTAAAAGGTTGCAAAGACAGACTGTGGTGTATAGACAACCACATGCTTCTCTTTGGCCTTGTTAGAGGAAGGGGCAACTCTTTGGCATCATTCGCACTGACTCACGAAATGAAGGCCTGAATGTTGATTGGATAGTTGATGGGTTATCTTGATGCCATTATATGACATCCCTTTGTCACCACTGCGTCTATAGCTACACTTCGAATCCTCTGGTATGGAAGTACCTATGGGTTGTGACAGTCTGTTGCATCCTTTGTTTAATTACAGATGAGTTGTTTTGTGGGAGAACTCCAGTGTAAAGTGTCTCAGGATTTTTAGTGGTTTCACTTAAAAAAATTGGTTTGTCTTTAAGCAAGTGCTGAATTATAGTCTTCCTGTTTGTCCTGAGGAGTGATGTAATCTTGAATTGCACTTTTGTGTAGAATTTTATTCTCTCCTTTTTCCTCCTCCCTCTTTGAGCGTCATTTTTAGTATAGTTTTCATATGGAATTGTGTAGTAAGATTCACTTTGAAATCTCTCCTAACTAACTCTGCTCTTCTTTTATGGTACTACTTTATAACATATTAATCTCTTGGTATATATTGGCAACTTATGCAGCTTGTCTGAAGAGCTAATAAATGGCTGATAGCAATTATTTATTTTTAAGGAAAATTACAAATTATTTTTACAATTCTTTACATAATTTTATAACTTACAATTATATAGCTTGGTGTAATATTTATTATTTATAAGAAAGCTTTATTAGAATATGCTGAAGTCCGTGCTGCAGCAGGTCAGTGCTGAAGTACTGATAGGTTTTTTCTTTTTTTTTATTTTTTCCCCCCACTCTTTTCAGGAAGTGCTTGCAGCTCTTATGGTCGTGTGAATTACAAGCTGCCAGTGATGGACACCATGTTTGTAAGAAAGAAACATCGTGAGGGTGACTTTGGGCTAATCATGTTGGAAGATTTTGTGAATTGCTTCACTGAAAATTGTCTTGGCCTGCGGTACCCAATGTCACCCTTCATGTATGCAGGCAAGTGCTTTATTCTGATCATCTTTGTGCTTTCTTTAAATGTCCTAGACGAGTGCTGTCATCCATGCTCCATGTTTGTGGCTGCATCCTTAGTTACTGTGTTAAATATTCTGCTCTTCAGTGAAGGCTAAAAATCCTGATTTGTTTAAGATGGTGAATTAGTTCCTGATTAGTTTTTTAATCCTCTGCATGAGATCAGGTTATTGGATGTCCACTGGCTTTCTACTACTGTGAAGTTTACCCCCCTGAAACCTGCAGAGTGGACCGAGGTGTTTCTGTGCTAATGAATACTTTCTTTATAGCACCTTTTTCTTGCTCAGGCCTAAGCCTCACAAGGCCATTTAATTCATGCTTTCTCAGAACAAGGTTATGTTTTAACCTGGCTATAAGAAGACACAGTTCTCATGACCAAGGAAAACACTTACGGCTCTTCCATTAGCAACCCAAGAGGGTTATGTCTTCTAGGAAACAACTCTCATTCTGGAGACGATGTTTCTTGTGACTGTGTTTGGACAAGAAGCACACTTCCATTGCCCTGTTCCTTGAGGCTTGTCCATCTGCTAGGCTTCCTTCTATGAACACTTTCATGTGGCTTCCTTAGCCACTGGAAATTTCCTGCTTTTCCAAGTGCCACTGTCAGATCACTGGATCTCAGTAGACCACCAACAGACAGTGGTTTGTTAGGCTTCAACCAGCAAACTGTCTTGAGCAGAATTTAATGATTAATCCATTTCCCTGGTCAGGGAATGATAACTCTAGGGATCTTGGCCACTGAGGCTATACATCAATAGTGGAACAGGTGAAAAATGGTAGTTTTCCTGGTAGCTACTACAGAATAATATCAAAGAATGCATCTCCACAAGGATGTTTAGAATGTGTTTTGGGAGAAAAGTGGTGGAGGGGCAGCAGAGGGAAGAAAATGTTCCAGAAGTAAATAGTGAGTGGATGATGAACCATGCAATGATAACGTGTTCACGTTGCCAAACAGTGCTTTTCATGGGTGCCTACAACAACATGGGGTGACAAAAATCACCTGACTATATCCTCTGCCTAAGAGCCCTTCCGTTCTGGGTTGGGCCTTGTGATTGGTGGGGACACTGACCAGTAAAGTGTAGAACACTCTGAAGTGGGTAGTCAGAGAAAAATAAAATTCTATCCATCTTTGTTTGCAGTTTTAGATAGTAATGGAAAGTGTTTTAAACCTGAAGAAATGATTTAATGAGAAGGATGATTAGGGTAAAGCAGTATTATGTTTATTTCAGACTCAACTGTTCTGTTGAACCGTTCTTCCTCTGATGGTTTGTGTATGATGAAAGATTGCAAATTAATTTGATTTCTGATAAGCTTTTAAAAACGCAGGTACAGCCTAGTGTATATAATACAGTGCTTTTTTTTGTTCAGTTTGTAAGAAATACTATGAGAAGTACCCTGAGCAGGAGCACCTTTTGTGGGAAGTGCAGGGACCAGGACTTTGGTTCCAGAAAAAATCTATTCTATCTCTATTGCAAAAAGAAAAGACCAAAAATGAAGGTATGGATGCTTTGTTTTATTGGTTTTTATACACTTCATAAAAGTTGAACAAACACTCAGTACAACAGTGACTTCTGTGAATGGTGCCCATGGAGACTTGTAGAAAAATTTTTATTTGTCTTGAGATCTGCAAGATCATATTTGGCATGGTTAATTGTTGTATAAAGGTACTATAATTTTCCATTTCCCTGTTTCCTCTTTCAAATTGCAGCAGCAAAGGCCCCACAGAATGAAGGTAATAGTTGCCAAATAGAGGATCATTGCCACTCTGCAGCAATATCTGAAGCAAGTGGACAGAAGACTGTGCTAGAAACACAGCGGAGTGTATGTACACAGACTGTTACCTCTTCTCTTGATGGCATTGTTACTAAAACACAAAATACGAAAACTGGTTTTGTTGATCTAATTGTAATTGGCTCAAATCGCACTATATACAAAATAAATATTTTTGTTACTTTTTGGGTGGATGTTACACTTCCTACTGATGTAAGACTGACTAAGCTGGGGTAAAAATAACTTTTTTTGCAGGGGGGTTGGAGTGTCCCAGTGAATGTAGAGGGTTTGTGCCACAGCTGTCAGGGTCTATAATTTGAGCTGTTTGCTAGCAGATTAGAGAAGGGAGAGTGTTTCAACTGACTTGGAGATTAAAACATCTAGAAAGGCTGTTGAACAGTAGAATCATAGTAAGAATGGAGAGAATGAGAAGTGTTTGTAGAAGTGCACACTCACATCAGTTCAATACAGTGGGAAGTTTTTCACATGCATTCAGTTATACAGTGTTGATATAGAAGGACTGCAGCTTTCTTTCTGGTTGGCATTTTAAATAACTACATTTCAGTACATGTGGATATGTGCTCACAAATATATTTGTCTTTGATTATGAAGCTGTTCCTTCTTTTGTGTTCTGAGGCCACACAGAATGTGCTTGAGAATAACTTTCAGCTCCAGATGTAAATCCATGCTCACTATGTGCTTCAGGACTGTCTGTGGTATTGACATGACCATACTCTCATGGTAGAGATCAATGCTTTAATTAAAAACAGAAAATAATTGTTAAATCTAAACTTGAGATTTGAAATATAAGTCAAATATTTCCCAGTTGAGAAAATCAGCAAAGTAGTGATGTTTTTAGTCTCTAAATGAGCAGAAACAACAACTCTTAATCGTCTTTCATTTTCAACGTGCCTTGAGCAGCATCAATGAGCTTTTAGATTCAGATTCCAATAATGGTCATATTGTCTGTTGTGGTTTAGTTGCTGGCTGGAGTTAAGTACCACACAGCAGCTCACACACTTCCTTCTCCCCCTTGTGGAGATAACAATTTAATAATTAAAAATAATACAGTGATACCAGTAATTGACAATACCAATAATACTAATAATACTACCACCACTACTAACAGTATGTAATGAATATAATACTGCCACTAACAATAATATATAATGAAAATAACAAAGATACAGTAAACTGTACAACTGCTCACCCTGCACCAACTGATACACAGCCAGGTCCCGAGTAGCAAGGCCAGAGTTGGAGACCCTGAGAGCCAGACCAAGCCCAGAGAAGGCAGACCCAGAGAACCTTAGCAAGGGAGAGAGTGAGAGAGAAAGCGAGCCCCTGACCCACCCCCAATGTATATACCTGTCGTGGTTTAACTCCGGC